ATGATTGTCCACAGACTCCACACTCTGGCCAAACTGAACCGCTAATACCGAGTAGGTCCGAAACCGTGAGCCGCTGTCCAATTCATGAAGAACAATGCCTGAGGCCTTACCGCAGCTACAAGAAGGAGAGGATCCCATAGGTCGCCATAGCTCAATACATACTTGGCAGGTTTTTCGCAGTAGCATTGTAGCCCGTCAGATGTACGGAATCAAGTTCCGAAGTCTGCCTTGAATTTATTCAACATGACGGCTTGGTTGCAAATGCGGGGCGAGCAGCCCAAGTCTCCAAGACAAATTACAATTGCATCCTTCATCTAATTCGGTCCGCTATTACGGCTCAAATTTTGATGGGGTTTAACGCCTGGATGTTGACGGCCTTCCACGCCAGGTTTTTTTCCACGCCAGGTTTCTCAGCGATCGGAAATAACTTTCCTCGCTCATTGAGTCCTCGCTCGTTGAGTCCTCGCTCATACAGTCCTCGCTCATTGAGTCCACTGTTTCAGGTTCCGAACGAGCAAAAAAGGTCGTTTAATTGGGCTTGGACGCCCAAATTTACGTGTCATCCACTCCCAAAAGGTTGTACATCTCACAAAAACATATTACACTACACCAGCACGGGTGTGCTGCACGCTTGAATGGATTTAAAGTCTAAGATACTTATCAAGATGCTGTTCAGCGAAACCCCGAGCTGGGTTGACTGTTAATCCGATTCGCTTGACTTGTTTGCCTGGTCGTCTGGCTACGCATTCAGGCCCAGCGGTGTCGACTGTAGCTTTTATGATTGCCCCTGGAGCTTTGATGGGGATCCTAGCTCTAGGGGAAGCCCCAGTAGCCCAATGTCTCGCGGGGCCGGGTTCACCTCGAGCGCGCGAGAACTGTTCAATAGCCCTAGGCATACCACCTTTCGCCAGCATAGCCTCGTTTTCATTCCGCTTCGCGGTACGACTCCAGTTCTGGGCTTGCATCCACTGTTCAGTAAAAGAATCCTCCACAAAGCCGTTTTTTAACGCATTCTTAAAGAACACAAGGCTTATCGGAATTTGGCACAAGTCCGCGCTGTTGCGGAAGAACTGCGTATAGACTTTCTCCACAGCGCCATCGCCAAAGTGGTTTCTGTAAAGAACCTCTTCGGGCTTCACTCCCACGCGCTCTAAACCGGCGGCCACGACGCGAGTTATGAGCTTCGTAACCCACTCCTGATTTAGGTCAATCCGCTGCGGCGGCTTATCGGGGTTCGTCTCATCCAGCGCCAACTCCAACTTGAAAACACTACCATACTTCAAAATCCAATCAATGTCACCCCCGTGAATAGGCTCGCCACGCGGAACCTCATCATCCGTCACTACATACGATAGTTTCACATTTCCCATAGGCAGATAGTTACGCTCCGTCGGTCCCGTACGTGATTCCGTCACCGGGCAAATGGCTTTGGCCCTCATATCCGGGTCCATACCCACCACCTCCCCATCCGTAGCCAGACGGAAGCAACCTCCTATGGCAACCGCCATCAGACTACCACTGCCACTTCTCGCTACCAGTCCGAGCATAATTTTCTCACGCCTTTCTCACGACGTAATTTTTTTCCGGTCCATTTTTTTTTTTCCGCGCCGGCATACCTGCTCGTAATAAACCGGGTTGTGCCAACGGGGTTAAGTCAACGGGGTTAAGTCAACGGGGCTATGTCAACCGGCTTGTACGAGAAGCTGTGTTGGGAAAGGAGAGTACACGAAGCGTCAGTTTATCAAAGAGCAATGAATCAAGCTTTTGGTGCACCGCTCTTTCATACTTCGCGGCTGTCGTCAAGAAGGATAGGTTGCGATGATCCGTAACGTCCGCCTGAGTTTCGTGTAATAGAAGTTTTTATCCCATTTCTGGACGATGTATTTTACAGATCTCGTTCGCATACGTCCCAGTTGATTTGGTGCCTTTTTGTTTCCGTACTCGATGACGCTTACTTCGCCATCCACTACTTGGCACAACACGCCGCCGATAGTGTATCCGCTAACGTCCTCTCCTCAACACCGTCCGTCAGTAGGTCTTGCACGGGTGCAGGATTGCGCTCCATTGGAGAACGAGGTTAAAACCTTGTATGTAAACCATGTATTGACCTCAGCTCTTTGAACTAGAAGTCGCTTCCTCATGCTCCTGTTTTCCCGTCTTGAACGGCCGGAGTCAGACTCCTGGTAATGAGTGCTGATTTCTTCGAGCTTGTCGGCCTCGTGGGTCTCAAGTCGGTCGGCCTTGATCTTCAGGACGGCCATGGAGGTTATCCTTTCGGAGCGCATCCAGGGGATACGCCGCAAGCGCAACATCGATGAGGTGACAGCAAAGGTAGCGGTAAGGCTTCTGCCAAGGCTTGCTGAGCAGCACCATCCGGCGTATGCTCTCGGAGAGAACGTCGTAGCCTTCCGCTTGGAGACTTCCGCTGAATAGTCCAACCATACCTCACTAGTACTCTCAATGCGCCAGGTCCTCATCGAATATTTCCTTGTGAACAAGCCTCTGATCGTACCAGCCTCGTCTAACCATTGCTGACTACCGCGACCGCTGCTTATTGTCGAAAACGTCAATCCGACAGCTTCATGATCTCGTTCACAGCAGATTCTTCATCGAACACACGTAAGCTCCGTCACCCGTCATCTCTTCTTCATCACTCGATGTTCGAAACTTCCGTCCCATCCACTCTTCCGTCGCATTTTTGGAGTCGCTCTCATCAGCGGTCAGCATGAGGTACGGCCTTTGGGCTCCTTTCACATGCAGCTTCTGGCTCGCCTTACTTCTCGTTATCATCCACGGCAACAAGTCTTCTGCCTCCGTGAAGTCTTCGGTAATCGTGTTTTCGTTGACGGGGATCTTAGTCTGCATCAGCGACAAACATACGTCCAAAAGCAACTCCAAGCCGCCCGTCTGCATATCCTTCCTAGGTTCCGCAGAAGCGGCAATTCAGCTCTTCACACAGGGCATACCACCCCAACAAACCCGATGCCGATTACATACCAATTGATTCTGTCTTCTACAGACCCGCCTACCCAAAGCTTGTTGTTCCGTTGGTTCCGCCACTTGACCTGTCGCCTGGTTTATTATGCCCCCCTGTCCCAAAAAAGCTTTCGGACTCAGACACAACCCACACGACAAACCACATATCGAACCACCTTGTAGTCGGTTCTGCGTTCTGTAGCGCGACGGCGCGGCCGAGCCACAGACAATGAAGCATGTATGACTAACTACATTCCTGCTGCAGCCAGATTCGTTGAAGCCCGCAAGATATATGATCAACACGGGGTATTACCGACACGGGCGAGGTATTGGGGTACTACCGACACGGGATGCTTTCTACTGGAGCAATTAACGGTGGGGTTTTTTCCGCCTAAGAGTAGCAAATGTTTCTCATGTCGTCGTCCTTACCGGTTCCTTGCATTCTTCCGCCTTGGCGATATCATCACCTGAACGTTGCGCCAGAAGTTTCTTCGCTGTTTCTGCAGCTTCCATTTCGTCATGGCCGAGATTGATCGCTTCATCTTCTTCGCGATTCTTTCGCCGAATTCCTTGAAGCTCACTTTCTTCTTTTGCCTTCTCCGTCAAAAGCTCATCAGCATTCAGGCGGGACTCATCTTTAAGCATTTGGGCTCCTTCTACAATGCAAGCACATGGCACCCTCCCCACCCGTACCTTTGACTGCTGCCACATCATGAGTCAATTCTTGCTCGTCTTTATAGATCTGCTTTCTCTTCTCCCTTTCCTCGTCCGCAAAAGTATTCTCTTCGTTCTCCTGGTTCTCCTCAATGGATTCCATCACGTTACCGTGGCGCTTTTCTTCTTGATCTACGGCCTCCGCATCCTTCTGACTCTCATCTTCAAGAGTCGCAGCAGTTTTGTCCGTCCCTTCTGCAATGTGACCTGACTCATTTGCAGATTTTTGGTCCATTTCAAGCTGCATGAGTTCCGTCTGTCCTTTTGATTTCTCGCTTTCTTTATTATTCTCTGAAGCTCCTTTCAGGACAGACGCTGTCAAATCCGAAACTTCCTCTTTGGATGATTCAGGTTTGCCTTGCGCCGGTTGATCGGTAGAACCGTTCGGGCCATTGTAGATAGCCACCGTTGGGGCTGATGTACATTGTATGAACTGCTCGTTTTCTTACCACCTCCGGTATTAATTTTTGTTCCCCGTAGAAATGATTGTCCCGACACAGAAGAGTTAGGCTGGATAGTTTGACTATCGTTTTGCGATGAGTACGAAGCGACGGGAATCAGCCAGAACAATAATCGCCGCATTTAGCACACGCGTGTGCGCCTGCTCTATATGGGGTCATCTGTCATGAATATCCTGCCGTTGCTACGATTCAACTGCCGCCGTGGCCCGGCATCTCGCAAATGGGATATTGGGTATCTTCACTAATGCAGCGGCGTCGTTTCGTGCCGGTATCTTTCGTGCTTCCATTGGTGCAGACACGTAGTTGGCTAGGCGAATGCCACCAGTTCAATAGACAGGGCTTGCGTGTGGTAGTCTTGGCGTCTGCCGCAATCGGGTAGCTAACACACTTAGGGTATCTGCCTCGAACATCGGGTATCTGGCTTCGGATATCTGGCTTTGGGTTGTTTTCGATGTGAGATATACGTTTAAGACAACGCCGCGCAAGGTGAAAAATACGAGGGAGCGCGAGCTACGCCCCGAGCAATACATTCACGATTTGCTCATACGGCACTATTTTCTTCCCATCTGGGTCGATTTCTTGAACTAGGTTATCTACCTGAGATTTCATCTCGCTCAGATTGAGCATGACATGTTTCAATTCACCTGAAAGACAAGATGCTCTGCTGGGTTTGTGATCTGCTGGGTATCGAACTGCTGCTTACCAACGTTGATGGTACCATTGCCATCCCGATCGAAAGGTTTGAAAGCATTGAGGAGTGACTGTCTGATATCTTTGCCTTGTACCAAAGGGGTGACAAGCTCTCGAAAGGCCTCAAAGTTGAAATTCAATTCTTCTTTCCCTTGCATAATCTTGTTCATTTCATCATCAGACGGGTTTACGCCCAATGCCCTGATACAGATAGGCATCTCCGCCCCGTTGATAAAACCATCAGCGTCTTGATCGAATAGGCAAAATACCTCTTTAATTGCAGCCTCCATTACCAACCCAAAAATTTCAAGACTGTCGTCTACTTGCACACAGACCGACTACTCCCCCCACCAACTCCCCCCACCAACTCTCCAACCCATCATACATGTACCACCCAGTGCCCAACCGCGCAACACCCAAAGGCTCCATAGAATGTGATTTAGCGTCGTGATAAAAAAATGATAGGGGAGCTTTTGAGTGAGTTAGGAGTCCACGCAGTTTTTGCAGTGCCAGGGATCCCGATAACCGACGCCCTGAATGATATACAAGGAGTGACTCCTCCGGGGGCCGCTTTTCCGGAGAGCCAGGAAATGAGCAAGGGTGCCCGGCCAAGGGTCGTAGTCATGAGACATGAAGCTAACGCCGTTAATGCTGCCGCCGCGTATGGCTACATATCTGGTCGTCATGGCGTCCCCGGACTCGTCATGACTACGAGTGGTCCTGCCGTACTGAATGCTCTCTCTCAAGTCATCACACCGAGCGCTAACCAATTCCCGGTCGTGCTATTCAGTAGTGGTCAACAAAAGCAGAACTCAACCGCGATCGACGACTGGACGTGCCCCTTACGGTTTCAGGAAATGAACCAAATAAACATAGCTCGTAAATACGTCGAGCTAGGCCTTTTGAAAGCGGCTTTCGAAGTTACGGAATGTAATCAAATGCAGGAGATTTTGCAACAAGCGTTTTCGTGCGCCCTTTCAGGTAAGAAGGGACCAGTTTACGTCCAAGTGGACTGGCATGTTTGGACGGACATTGCCGCTGGCAGAACGTTGCGCAAGGAGCGACCAGTCCCTGACGACAAGATTTTTGAGGACAAGGTATCTGAGGACAAGGCCTCTGAGGGTAGATACGAATGCACCGAAGGGACTGTGGAAGCCTGCCAAGTGGTGAAGCACATCTGGCAGAAGCGAACCTTGTTCGTGTTTGGCGAGAATTTCATTTATTGTTCCAGAGACGAAGATCTACCATTGGAGAATTTTCCGTTTGTCTGTCTGACCACACCCTCTGCCCGTGGCACCGTGTCGGGATCTGACGTATACGCCTGCCGGTCTCGAGCTCTCAAGGAATGTGAGGTCGCCGTGTTCGTAGGATGCGAATTCGACTGGAGGTTCAAACCGACGGACGAAAACCTCTGGGCAGGCAAACACGTGTATGTAGTAAATGGCGCTCCCGCTAGCGACCGTTCGACGGTTCCCGGACCTTGCGAAGTTACCTACGTGGTGGACAAAATTCCCAATAATTTCGTAACAGACGTGGTGGACCGAGTGAGTGGCTTGAACCAAGCCAGCAAATCCGAGAGCAGGTCCTCAGTGAATGAAGAATGGCTCCAGGAACTTTTGGAGCAACAATCGGGGCGACTTAACGCTGTGAAGAAAGCAGGCTCCGTTGAAAAGGGTAGCGCTGAAAAGGATTCCGTAGTGGAGTCGATCGGCACTAGAGTATTCGACGGGGTAACGTTTGCGGGGTTGTACGGCGCTATTTCTACACACCACCAGTCGGTTGCGAGTCCCTGGTACTTCGTTGCAGAGGGCGCTTCCTGCATGGACGCAGCCCGACGCTTGATTCGTCTGCCGCATTCCCACGGCCGCTATTTGGACGCTGGTGTTAACGGAGCGATGGGAATAGGTTTCCCATATGCCATTGGGTTAGCCGTGGCGGACTTGGTTCACAAGAAGGATCCGAAAGTCCGCACGAGGGTTGCCCTGTGCATTGGAGATAGCGCATTTGGATTTTCCGGAATGGAAATGGAGACGGTCCGGCGCTACTGTCTTCCCATCTGCATCTGTGTCCTAGACAACTCTGGTATGTACGCTATTGCACCCTACAGGCTGCCATTGGAACGGCCGCCATTGGAACGGCCTCCTCGTCCCGTTTTCAACTTCCTTCCCGTATTCAGCCCCCTGCCCGTGATCGACGCAACTGACTTGTCTCCAGTCGACTTTTGCGGATTCTGGCCAGACCAGAAAGCAGGAAATTCTGCGTGGGAGAGAAGGACCAGACTCAGTAGTCAGTGCCAGAAGCTTCGGGTAGAGAACAAAGTCGACTTGAAAACCCACCTTCCGGAGTTGCTCAACAAATTTGAAACAGACGGCACTCCGTCCATAGTTCACGTCATGATAGACCCCAAGGACGGATCCGGCCAAGGATTCGTTGCTAACCAAAACTATCACTAGCACCCGTCTCCCACCTGGTGGGTCTGTCTGCATCACTCTCCGGCCTGGTGGGTCTGTCTGCATCACTCTCCGGCCTGGTGGGTCTGTCTGCATCACTCTCCTCTGCATCGCTCTCCTCACCATTGTGTGGACCAAACATAGAAAACAGAATAACGCGTGAAAAGTTCATCATGCCGTTCAACATACCGTTCAACATACCGTTCACCATGCCGTTCACCATACCGTTCACCATACCGTTCACGATACCGTTCACGATACCGTTCACCATACCGTTCACGATACCGTTCTATCTATCTAATATAAGCTTCTATCTAAGATGTGTTTCTTCTGTCTGTTTCCATGTAATGATTTCCGTATAATGACTATCTAGCTAGGAAGTGGATTGCGTCCCGTCACGGCCTTTGCATCCGGTCTAAACGTCAGGTTCTCTTAAGAGTCGGGCTAGAGACGTGAGCAGATTTTTAAACTGGTTGAAGAAATCATCCGGGTTAGGGTATTCCCGCAGAACCTTCATTTCCAGAAACAAGCGATGACACAAATGGTGGGGAGGCACAGTAAAAGCCCTTTTCCACTGTTTGAGTATCTTCGGTTCGATGGCATTTGGGCTGTAAGAAAGATCATTCAGATTCACAAGACGAACATCAACTTGGTCATTCTCGATCGGTATAACCACTACATTAAACAACATTAAATCGTTGTGGCGGAATCCAGTATCCCAAAACTTCATTAACTGTACGAAAACACGACGGAGAGCATTTATAGTCCATGCGATATCGACGCAGTCCAACCGTTGAATAAACTCGTATAAGTTAACTCCTTGTACGCTAAAAGAAATTAAACAAATAAATAGCGGCGTGATGGTCAAACGGCGTGAACGGGAGCCCCGAACGGGAACCCCGAACGGGAGCCCCGAACGGGAGCCCCGAACGGGAGCGGCGAACGGGAGCGGCCCTGAACGGGGGCAGGGGGCAAAGGTTGGTACTCCCTCAGCCGGGGGGCTTACTGCTGTTCGAATATAACGAGATGATGGGGGTCCTTATATGGTATGTAGGGGTGAGCGATGATGTTTCTGAGTTGTTCAGGAAGGTTCAGATTCTTATAGCACACGCGTGCGGTCAAGAACTGATATTTCCATAAAGCCATTGCATGGCCTTCTGTAACGCCGGGATTCACTTTCAGGTGCTTGATGACCACTGGCGCGCCTTCAAGAACCTCTTCCCCAGTGCAGGCATCAACGAGTTGGTTTTTCGCCACGCGTCCATGGAATATGAGAGTATCCATACCGATTTGCGGAAGTCGTTCTGAATCTGGCGTTGCAAGCAGGCGGATTTTGCCCCAAAGCAGCGGCGCTATCAGGCTCAGTTGTGCTTGACCGAAATATCTCGGACTCACCTGCAGTTGACCAATGTCGTCGATTGAGGGCCTCGTGGGGGTACCTTCCCACAGTGTTTCGTTCTTGATGATGGTGGAGACATAGTCGATTCCCTTCGGGTTAACCTGCCATTGCTGGAGGTTCTTAACGGCGGAAATAAGTCTTTGGTATTTACTCAAAATGTCCTGCCTTGGAGTACTCCAGGAGTACAAAACGTGTTCGGCGAGACTGGTATACCGACCAAGTTCTTGAGTAATTCTAGTCATACTGGACTTCAGTACTGCCATATAGGTGGGTAGATCGTTACTAAGCTGTCCGGCGGTTCGTCCGTACATTACATGTACACCGCGGTAAAGACCGCCCGGATAGGTACCGCCTGGCGCGACCGTAGTGCCCTGTTTCCAACGGGTTGCTGGCAAACTGCTGCTTGGTGAGTAAGTGACGGCGTTATGACTCATATCACAGAACAAGGTTCCGTTCACGACGTACAGGTTCGTAAAGGACAAGTTCGGGTAATAAAGCCAGTGCTTCCTCACGTTCTCCCAACTGTGGGCCCAAACCATTGCCAAGCTAATCAGCCCCTTAACAATTCTCCTAGACTCCTCCACAATGGCTCGACGCGCTCGACGATTCCGTACGGAAGGATCAAGAGAATGCATCAAGTCATAAGCTACCGTGTAACGGAACTCCTCAGGCGCTGAAGTACACGGCCGATCCAGACTGCATACATTCACCGGGTGGTAGTGACTCTCCGCATCGTTCTCATAGTAATAGTAATTACCTGGAATTTCGAACGCGGCGCCCTTCGAAATCTCTCTAGAAGTCTCGCCTCTAGAAGTCTCGCCAGTCCGCCACTCCGTCTCCAATCCTCCCTTCCGGCGCACCGCCTCTTCTACCAAGCCGCGTTCCACAGAGCTCAGCACTACCGCAGATGGACGCGTTCCCGCCAACCCTTTACCCCCCCTAGACTCACTCACCACGGACTCACTCACCACGGACTCACTCACCACGGGCTCACTCACCACGGACTCACTCATCACGGACTCACTCACCACGGACTCACTCACCACGGACTCACTCACCACGGGCTCACTCATCACGGACTTATTCTTTAGGGAGCCAAGACCGAAGTCGCTTGCATAAAACAAAACATGGCTGTTGTCTTCTTGAGAGAGCTCTCCCGCATTCCGGCACTGCTCTTCCGACGACTCATCCGAGAACTCCTCTTCCTCGGCCGCCTCTTTAACCGAGAACTCGGCTTCCGAGAATTCGGAGACAGTTTCGGCGAACTCGTCGCGGAACGGTTCAGATCGATCCATCTCGCTCAGAGTCTCCAAGTAGCGGCTGAGAGCCTCCGGACTGCCGAGCAGTTCAACTGGATCGTCGTCCACTCTGTCGCTTCGGTCGCCCTGGGCCTCGAGAAGGAGTTCCTGGTCGAGAATTTCGCTCTCGATCAAATAGTCCGTAACACCCGGGACGTAGCGCGTGTCGTTCTTGCCGAAGATTAGACTATACCATTCCTTCGCCCGCAACCGCGAAATGGTTCTCCACCCCATCAGGTATTGCGTCCAGAACTTCTCGTGATCCACCTCGTCCCCTGCCAGCGTCTTTCCCTTCGGCGCCTTCTCGTCCTCCTGGGACCCCGCCGCCGTTGCAGTAGGCGAGTCCCCCGTTGCTTGACTCACAACCGGAACAGACAAACTACTGAAAGTCGCTGCGGCTGACGGCTTGGGCAGAGAGGCCGTCGTATAGGCGGTCGTCGTGTAAGAGGCTTGAGAATAAAAGGCTTGAGAGTAGGAAGGTTGGGGAGATGTTGAGGTTCCAGTGTCGAGACTTGGGGGCCTGCCGAAAGGATAGAACTTCGAAGCCACAGACGACCCGGAAGTCGGCATGGAAACACGAGCGCCGTGCGCCGATAAGTCGGCCGCCGATAAGCCCGACTGGTCGCCGGCCGCGATGACGGGTGCGCGGATAACGGGCACCTTCACGACCGGGGCTGACACCCTCGCAGCCGCGGCTTCTGTTCCCGTTTCTGCGACCAAACCCGCCCCAGTGCTCGAAGGCTCCGTTTGGCCGATGTCCCACGGCAGGACGGGCACAGTGCGAACGACTGGGGGGATGCCCAAAGACGTGCCGTTAACCCGGGCTACAGAGGGGGCTGTCATCGTCAAGGCACTCGCGGAGATCTTAACCGCGCTCGGCCCAACAGGGACCGACCCGGTCCCGACCGACCCGACCCCGTCCGACCCGACCCCGACCGATCCGCGGGTGGTCGAGACCTTCAGGGAGTGCGGGCTACGCTCGAAAGGACTGAAAGGCGGCACGAGTCCTCCGCTGTGTGGCACAGCTCCGTTGAAAACCTCGTTCGGGTAGATACCGGGCAGCACAATGTCAGGGTCCACGCGGAAGATATAGGAGTGCTTGTTCGACACCACGCGGGCGTCGCTGTCTCCCGGTATTATGGTCTTATTGCTCCACAGCACCACCACTTCGTCCTCTCGGGCCTGTCTGCGCTCTTCCCCACCGTGTCCGCGACCCCCAGGGCCACGGGTCGGGTCTACGACGGAAGGGTCTACGGCAGGGTCTACCGTGGAGTCCGCACCTCTGGCGAGGTACCGATCTCTCAGCTTCCGTCTGACCTTGGTGAGAATACGACGAGTCCGAGGTCCGCCGGAACCGGAGAAGTCGGGGGGACTCGCCGGCTTTGTTCCAAGAAGGGTCGGCGCCAAAGGCATCGGCCCAGCACCGCTTGAATGGTCCGCATCGCGATTCCGAGGACGGGAGTTGCGCCGCGAATCGGAATCGGAAGAGCTGGGCTCGAAGGAACGGCGGTCGGAAGAAGTTTGGTCACGCGAACTCGAACGAGTTGCATATGTTTGCGTTCGACTTTCCGGTCGCGCATACCCGCCTTTGGAAGACGGGGTGCCGGAGTGTTGTCGTCTGCTGTCGCTCTGGGCTTCCCGGTCTAGCCGAGATGAGTCCGTGCGAAGCGGGGTTCCCATGAAGTCGTCCAATTCGTTCGTGTCGTCGCTGAACCACCAACGGTCTCGAGCCTTAGGGGGTACCCTCCCAGGGACTGTCCCGCTGCCCGCTTCATAGACCCCCGACCTTCGTTGCTTGTCTGGCCTTCGTCCGGTCTCGGGGCCGGCTTCTTCGTTACGAAGATGAAATGGCGCTCGCTCCAGCAAGTCCGAGTGAGCGAAGAGCACTCTTTTTTTTAGGAACGGGTAGAACCTACGGTCGTTCGTGATCTCCTCGAAGTCCAAAGTATCCGACTCCACCTCGTCCAGAGACACGGCGCAGTCCAAGAACCTCACTCGTACCATCGCTAGAATCGCCGAATACAAGAACTTAGAAGCAATGGGACGCGATCCTTCTGGTTCAGTTGGCAAGACGATGTGACCAAACTCACCTTCGACTGCCTCCGTCCCTACCTCCGCCCCCTCCACTGGGACGCTTTGTGACGAATTGTAATAGGTACGTGATCCGGGAATATACGCACGAATTTTGTCCAGTGGAGAGACCAGAGCCGGCGGAATGTACAGGGACGGAACAGGGGGGACGGCACCGCCCAGAATCGAACCAATCATATGAGGCACTAAGCCGCCTCGACTGCGAGTTGACTCGCTGCGAAGAATGCCGCCGTCGGAGACGTTATACGAAACTGTTTCAGTAGCGGCATTGGAGCGGCCCGCCGCGGCTGAGTCGCCCGCAGGCGGTGAGTCGCCCGCAGGCGGTGAGTCGCCCGCAGGCGGCGAGTAGGGCAGACAGGGGGGAAGGAAGTATTGTACGTCTTCGCACCGACTGACCATCTGTGTAAGGTCGGCGTGTTCATACAGGTAGCGTCGGTCGGGCAGTAGCCGGACGCGACTGTTCGGGCAGGTCCGTGAGCCGTCCGGCGAGTGTGGGCAAAGCAACTGTATGCCTTTGTCGAGTAACTCAATCGCGCCATCACTGCCGCGGCTGAAACCTAGCGTTGCGTCCACCCACAGCAGACACAACGAGCAGGACAATTTCATCTCTCAAAAAAACCAGAGTAGAAATCACAATGAGTGAGCAGCACTCCCACTCCTCCTTTGACCCATTGGGGGGGTGTTCACCCCACTGACCCACCGGGTTACGGAGGGGAGGTCGGATTTTGTGTAGGTCGGAGATATTCATTTGACGACCGAGAAGTAGTTCGGATCAATGAGTTCAAGAAGCAGTACCCTCAGTGGAGCTGCGAGCCTCTGACGGCGCAGAAGCGCGCCATCTTTAGCATCATTCGCGACAAGAACACGCGCAAGGACGAATTTGTATTTTATGCCGACCGCATGACACGATTGTTGGTCGAGGAGGCGCTCAATCAGATGCCGTTCGAACGCACCACCGTCGAAACACCCGTGCAGGATGCCACGGCACCCGCTACCAAGTTCGTTTCCAAGATTTGCGGCGTCTCTATTGTACGAGCCGGTGAGTGCATGGAAGGCGCTCTCCGTGCTGTCTGCAGAGGCTGCCGCATAGGCAAGATCCTCATACAACGCGATGAAGAGACACTTGAACCCAACGTAATTCAGCACCAAACCTTTAGTCACCGGCTGGGTCGATGGGTTACAAACACGAGCGAGGGACACACACACGAGTGAGGGACACACACACGAGTGAGGGACACACACACGAGTGAGGGACACGCACACGAGCGAGGGACAGGTTTCTGTTTGTAGTTGATTTACACCAAGTTGCCGTCAGACGTGGCGGAGCGGCAGGTGCTGCTGATGGACCCGATGCTTGCGACTGGCGGTAGTGCCATCCGTGCAATCGAGGTGCTCATTGACCAGTACAATGTCCCGGAGGACAAGATCGTGTTCATGAACCTAGTCGCTGCCCCGGAGGGGGTTCATCGGCTATGCAAGCGGTTCCCCAAGGTCAAGGTCGTGACCGGCGTACTCGACGACAGGCTGAACGAAAAGGGCTACATCGTCCCCGGCTGTGGCGATTTTGGGGACCGGTATTTCGGCACCATCTAGACAGCGTCTTGCTGCAAGGAGCACCCCTGTAAGGCAACGTCTTGTACGGGAACAGCTGAATTTTTGGTTTTGACAATTTAGAGGGTCGGTACACCCCCTTAGCTGAGTAGTCAGGAAGTGTGTGGGTTGGTGTGTGGGTCGGGGGTGATGGATGACAGACTTGTGGTGGGTGGGGTGGTCAGGTTGGTGGGGGGGAGTTAGGAGGCGGGTCTGTCGCGGTTGTCAAAAGGCGGTTGTATTTTTTGATTATCTTTTAGATGAATTACTCTTCCTCCGATCTTGGTTCGACCCGGTTGGGCTCGACGACTACTATGCCGTTGCCGGTGGCGGAGCGGACGCAGGACACGACGGTGTACCGCGAGGAGCCGTTCCAGGTGACTGCGTCCCAGGTGACTGTGACAGCGCCGCGGAAGCCACAATCGCGTACAGAAGAAATGGCGCTGAACGGGGCCCGAGTAACTCACACTGAGACTCGAGAAGCCCTGCAGCCGTTGATAGCGGGGCCGCAGGCCGGTGGGCAAGCGGTTGTGCGCGAGGAGAAGTTGCCGTGCACAATTGAGACCCGTGCCTACGAAGTGTTTAGAAGAGACCCGGCGAGTCTGTTCCCCGGCGCTAAGATCGTCAGTGTAGGACAGACCGGACCCGTTACCACGCCCAGCGGAAGCGTGTACGACCCGGCTACTAACACTCTCACAAGCGCCTTCAACGGGCAGGTAACACATGTGCAGCAGGCCCATCACATTGGCAGCACACTTGGCAAGCTCGACATACCCACTGCTGTTACCAACGGACGCCCAGGTGGCAACGGAGTCACCTTCGGTTCCACCACCTATGTCCCGTACGAAAGTGCCATCTCACCAGGCGGCTTCAACGGCAGCAGCTTCAACAACAGCAGCTTCAACAACGGCGGTTACACCAACTATAGCGCCATGCTCGGCGGTCTCGGGTCCAGCACTCTCGGTTCGAGTACTCTGGGCTCTAGCAACCTCATCGGCGACATGGGCTACAACGGCAGCGGCTATAGCACCGGCTACGGCGGCGGATTCCAGGAATCCAGCTTCAACACCAGCTACCCCGCTGGAGGCTCTCGAACCTTTACGCAAACGGTTTCGGGACCGACCACGACCTCCTCCTACAGCCAGCGGGCCACCACCACCACGACCGGCGGGAACTCGCTGCTGGGAGGCAACTCGCTGCTGGGAGGCAACTCGCTTCTGGGAGGCGGGAGCTCGCTCCTCGGCAGCTCGTACCCCGAACCGGCCTTCGAGTCCAGCGGCCCCACAACCTATTCCTACAACAATCCCAATGGAGGTACCACGACCGTGACACAGGAGTACTATTCGGGCTCCTACCCCCCTGGAACCACCAGCTTCCCCCCACCTAGTCTCTCCAGCAACATTCCAGGCGGTTACCCCTCACAGTACGACCAAACGACGCCTACCAAGAACGTCCTGACCACGCCGCAGAAGCCCAGCACTTATCAGAACACCCCGATGACGCAGTACACTGCCACTCCCGGCGCACAGTACAATAGGCAACCCAGCTGGGCCAACCGTGCCGAGAACTAGGTCGCGTGAGCGGTAACCCCAGATCCCAAATACAGACGAATGCGACCAATGAAAACCCTCCCTGTGATCCGACAACGCTTGGAATCATCATAGATTAAGGGCTTGGAATCGATCCGAGCTGTTGTTGTCTTTAAAGATTGATTTTTTCAGTCAGGCAACTAAATCAAATCAGATAAAAACTGATGATCTGTAGAGTGCTTCACCTTGACTGGATAGTCCACCATGACTGGATGGTCCACCATGACTGGATGGTCCACGTGGGTGTGACAAATCCTGGCTATCTGGGTGGGTGTGGGAAAATAGACCTTCTTTCTAGACTACATTTGGGGACCAGAGCAGGATCGCCACAGCTAGGGTCAGCATAACAATGGTGGTGATCACACGCGGACAAGTATTCTAAAAATGGGAAATCGTTACAGCAGGCGTGACATGGTACGAAGACATCAGTGCGTCCTTTGCCCATGAACAAGCCCATGACATGGCACCTTCCTTCAATGACATGCGCTTTTTTTGAGTGGCGCATCTTTCTTTTATTGAATGATTATCTCGGTACATGAGATCGTTACATTCCGTGTATATCTATTCATCGCCATTACTACTAGCTACATCCTCCGGACGAGCATCCAATGCATCTGTTAACCGATCTCGCAGTTCCAGCTCAGTGATTGGTATATTGTGTTGCCAGAGAAGGGAAAGGCATGTTGATATAAGCATAGACTCAAATCTTTCAAAGTTACGTGCGACTTCCTCTTTGATATCGCCGAAGGTATGTTCCGCAGTCATCCGAAGCATTCTGTTCTCCGTTTCGAGTCTCATAATTTCGGCTTTGTAAGGTGCAACTTGTTCCTCTGTGGCTTCGACGAGTCTTTGTTCAAAATTGCGTTTATCAATAATTTGTGTTTCGACCATCTCCTGATACTTTTCTTTTAGAACACGGGTTTCCTGATCGGCTTGTTGGGCAGCACGATCAGCCAAATAGCGATATCCGTCTAGAACTTCTTTCAGTTTATCCTTACAATCTTGTTCAAACTTGGTACACGCTTCTTCTGCTACTGTCCTGTATTCTCTTTCTTTACATTCTGATTCGAATGTTGCCCTTTTACCAGCACGAATAGCCTCTTGAGCTAATCGATGATATCTTTTTAAGGTATCGTCAACTTCTGTTAAAACCTGGGCTCGTGCTTGTGCTATTTTGGTAACATAATCGGCGCGCAATTGACAAAGGTGTCTTTCATATGTTTGCTTCAGTGTTTCTTTCTTATCCCTTTCTTCCTTGAGTAGTTGGCTGAGTATTTTAACTTCGTCTCCACCGGTCTCTTGGGTTATGCTTGGTCGTAATTCCTGTGGTCGGCTTCTTGAATCCTGCACTGAACTCCGTGAGGTCTGTGTTGGGCCTTGATCTGTGTTGTCGACAGCTTCTGGCATGTTTGCAGGAGACTGCACCCTCCTCTCAATTTGGACATACTAACTGCTCGCGGCAACACTCAAGTGGTAGAGCTGTTTGAAGCCGATTTCCAGTGTTGCTGATAGTCTTCAATACCCACCAAGCGCTCGTTTATGCACCCCGCATGCGGCTCTGATGTTTGCTTATGGTAATGCTTGTGTTGAAGACCCTGTAACTAGAACCCGATGGCCTGATGGAACGCCCAAGTCCCGGGCTCGGTCGGAACGAGTCTATCGACCGGCTAATAAAAAGGAATGGAGAAGTGTCTATTGGCTACTTGAACGTGTTCCCTCAGGTGAAATTTCCAGGTCCAATGACATACCCATAGAGGTGCGCGACGGTGTGGTTCTCAAATACCGCAAAAAGGCCAGGAAACAGTACTCCTTTAGCGCCACCAAATACGGCGAAGATGCAGCCAAAAGAAAGGCTGAAGCTATCCTCCAATTCATCGACCTCACTGGCCTTCTCCCGCCCTCCTGCGTCGTAACAGCTGGTACTCTGCGAGGATCTAAACAACAAAAGAGTAAAGAGCCAGTCCCCAGGTTGTCCGAAGATGCAGCCAGCTCCCACAGATCGTCCGAGGATGCCGCCAGCTCTTTCGAGGATGTCGAAGGCGTCTCTGGAAATCCAAAATCTACGATCTCCTGGACACAAGACGGCCCGTCTAGCGCCTGGACACAAGACTCTCCAGGTCATAGTGAGGAGAAGTCAGGCATGACTGATAAGCCGGGTGGGTCAGGTGAGAAGTCTCATGATAAGTCGGGAGTTAAGAAGCCCGGTTCTAAGGCAAGCGGTGCAAAGCAGGGTAGGTCGGCAGCTGTCAAGTCGGGAGCTGCCAAGTTGGGAGGTTTCAAGTCGGGTGGTACCAAGTCTGTTGGCCCCAAGTCCGGTTGTGCCAAACGGAACACAAGACTGCATGCAGAGAGAGCCGCGCATCAATCAGAAATGTCGGAGGAAGATTGTCTCCTTCCAGGGTACCCCTTGAATCCAGCGCCAGCACCCACATGGCAGGTCCCTGCGGCTATTTCTAATTCCCTTCCGCCAGGCGGCCTAGGAAGCAATTCCCCCGCGAACGTTCCCGAGTTTGAGGGACTAGTCGGATACTCAACCTATTCCCCAGAAACAATCTCAACGACTTATTCCCCAGAACCGCTCAGACCGGCCGGAAAAGGGCTTTCCGAAGCGTCCCGGTTTATGATAAGCGCTCCTCCATGTTTTCGTTCGCTTGACCCCAGTAGGTTTCGCGTACAAGACAGCAACAGCGCCGGTTCTCCTTCTTCCTCGGAATCAATCGACTTGGAATATTTGAGACGTATGTGGAAATATGAGACAGAATCAAACACAACAGCAACATCAACCAGGCTCAGTTCCAACGCGACCTCCTCCGAAGCGATGATGTACAAGTTCCGAACCTCAGCCTCCATGCAAGTTGAACCGGAATACCGTACGGGTGCGGAGTACCGTACGGGTGCGGAGTACCGTACGGGTGCGGAGTACCGAACTGACTTCGACCGTCCCATGGGTTTCGACCGCTTGAATGACTCCTGTTTGGTCACTGACTCGACCATGGCGGTGGACTTGGACCAACACTTCGTGTCCCCCGGCGCTGGACTTGTTGACGGCGGAATACCAGGAAGCATTCTGTCGTCCAACCTTCCTGGCTGCCCAGGACCCTATGGACAAAGCCCCTTCCCCTATAATGCATTCGCCTATCTGGTCAGCATGCCAGCCACTATCACCGGAGGTCGGGATTTGCTAGAAGACGAAGAAGTACCCGGATGAAAACGAACACGAAGACCGCTCGAAACACAACTATATGACGACGACGACGACCATGTTGATAATGGCAACACCGAACTGTCGCGGTTATGCATGATGACTACGGAAGTACATTAAGAGCTGAGCCTGCTGGGCTAGCCTCGAGCGGTCTCAAGGGCCCAGCCCCATCTTGAAGCCAGCTACATCTCTTAGATTTTATTTTATCTTCTTTTTCCTGATTTTTCTTTCGACCTAATTAACTTCTTTATTGTGCTCTGTCGGCCTTCACGGACGTTCTTGGGCCAGGATACGATGTGTCTGTCTTCGGAGCACGGACACACACCCACCATCTCAGACCCAAGCTGGTAGCCACGCGAAAGGAGGCAGGCGGAAGTAGACATGTGAAAGTAGACAGGCAGGTGGTAACTTGGTCGCATGCGCTTTGAAATTGCACCAGGCGAGACCGAGGCGGACGGTTGGGAGTTTGATGGCGAAGATTGGGTGAAGCTAGATGAGGAGAGTGCAGCGTGGGTATGGGATGGAGAGGAGTATGGAATTAAAGATGAGGAGACGGGTTGCATTATGGTTGAGAGGGATGATGGTATATACTTGAAGGATCCGGACAATAAGGAGCTGATAGCGTATGAGGATCCAGAAACGGGTGAATGGGTGGCCATGGAGGAAGACGAGGAAACGGAAACTCTTCCTCCAGCTACAGCTCCCGCCGTGACCGATAACACGGCGGAACCTGCCCCTGCAGAGGCCGCCGCTGCTGCTGCCGCTGCCGACTCGAAGCCGGAAACGACTCAAACTGCGACCTCAACTTCAGAGACCAAGCCGGCGGAGAAGCCTGAACCGCCCGCCCCTCCTGCAACCGAAAGTTACTTGCGGAAGCTGTGGTGCCGGGATGACGGCACCATTGAAGTACGCCGCGACTACAGAAAAACCATCACAGCCCAATGTGATGTATCCTTAATCGAACAACTAAGACAGATTCAATACGTCTGCCGCAGACTCCTCAAAGCTGCCCAGTCTGGACCAAATTTCACTTACGCAGACCAGGTCCTGTGCGCCGTTGCCATCACAGTACTGGATCTTTTTGACCCAGTCTCTGCGGAGGTGCGTGAACGACAAAAATCGCCACTCCTCAAGGACTCCATTCACAGCATCCTAGTGGCTGACGACCTTGAGGCATTCGAACCTATGCGAACACGCGCCAAATGTTTAATCAAAAGCAGACTTGAATGCTGCGCCGAACAGTGAGCCATAAATACCTCTCCCCCAACAAATCCCTCTACTCAAATAGCGTGCTACCTGCGCGAATAGCATACTACCAACATAAATTAATATACTAACAGGTCATACCAATTATCCATCAATTCCCTCAAACCAAAATCTTGTCACCTCTTAGGTTGGAATCGCTTTCGTATGATTCCCCATATGCGGCGGACAAATGTCTATACAATCTTTCCAAAGCTCTTCATGCGATTATAAATCGCCTTTCATTCATGCTGAATCTCTAAGCTGTATCGACCGTCGCGCACAGTCGCTGGCCGCCTGGGACATCGCCGGATTCGTCCTGTATATTATTGCGCGCAAGCAAACACGTGTGTGCCGGCCGAGAAACGCGTGCGCGCGCACATAAAACCACTGTGCTTGAGCTGTCATCAGTCATCCTCGTCGTCGCTGTCATCATCGTCATCCTCGTTGAGCCATTCTACGTATTGTCTGACTATTTCGGCTTGGAGGAGTTTGTTGTGTACGCGGTGCGTGGCTTGGTACTCGGTCAGGTATTTTTCATTGGCGAGGACGTCGTTGAAGACAGAGCACACAACGACGAAGAAGCGCGGGTCGTTGAGGAAGGCGTTTTGAGTTGTTTGTCCATGTCGGTCAAATACAGTCTGGTTTTGGAGGTACTCAATTACGGCATCGTAGAAAACAACCCTACATAGATCATCACTGCAGAACAGGTCGATGAGTTTCTCTAATCCGCTAGATTGAAGCTTGTTGTCGACGGCTTCGTTCGTGAACTGGTCCGGGCCGACTTCGGCTGCCACGGAGCAGACACAGGTGGCTAGAGGGCGCATAATCGCTGCATCTTGGCGGTTTTCGCTGAGTCTGAGTGCACGCAGTTCGAGGCCTAGGTTGTTAACATGCTCCTGATTATCGATGACCGACCAAACCATCTCCAGGACTTCTTTTTCAAAGGCTTTTTCATCACCTTCCGAGGCGTCGTCACTCTCGTCACTGTCTTGGTCGGCGGCCGCCTCCTGTATGTCAAATAACTCGTCCAAAAACGCATCCGGATCTTCGCCCGGATCCTTCTCAAAAGACGCCACAGTCGGACTGTCTGATAGGTTCTCACTATACCACCTTTCTGAACATCGGATTGTGACAATGCCATCTTGTTCCGTCCGATCTAAAAACTCGGGTTGTCCAGAGCTGCGCGTCCAGAAAACGTCAGCGCGATCTTTACTCAGCACTACTGCAGGCCCTTCCAGCTCGCTATTCACTACGCTGTGAAGCAGAGTAGTGCCTATGAAACACTTCTTAGCGTCGACTTCAACTCTGACGCCAGACGCAACAACACAATTTTCTAGAACAACGTTTTCTCCCACCGAACTATTTTTCATCATAACGCAATTGAGCAACTTGGCCGTAGCCGGAATAACCACCGACTCATGAACAACACTGCCCACGACACTAACGGAGTCCTTCCATTGCCAATAACTTCTGTTACCTTCCGTTTCAATTGCGTCAGATGCGGCGGACGCATCGTTTTTAAGCAAAGCCCTCAATTGAGATAAAGTGCGAATATTCCGCCCAGCAACCGTTTGTTTGTTGTTAGCGCACTCCAAATAAATGCCATTAAGCTTTACAGGTTTTCCCAAAGCGTCTACGCAAAACGCGGCAATGTCCGTGAAATCTCCGTTAGAGTTCAGTTCCTCAATTAACTTCATGTTCGCAATCAGTACATTGAAGCTAGGGACTAGACGCGTGGTTACGGTTGCGTTTTGCGAAATTGAAAGTGCGCGCGGATTTGACATGCACACACGTTTGGAATCAATTTCTACCGCCGAATACCGGTCAACGGGGGTCATCGCTGATACCTCGCCTGTAACTGTATCGTAAATCATCATCCAACCATCCGCGGACTTACCCTCCTCACATGCCATAATGGAAATCGCTGCCGAAGAGTCGACGCGCATCGTCTTCTTGAAATTGGTCCAGAAAGTTGACAGATTTGCAAAAGGGAGCCCATGACCATTAATCTACAACAAAAGCAAGAGATTAAGACAACCCAACACCTGCACGGGCGAGTGACCGGAGAGTGCACGGGAAGCGGAATCGAAGCGGTCTGAGTTGAGTGAGTTTACATAGATGAATCCTTTTGTAAGCATCGCAGCATATTTGTTGGCGAGTAATTTGAGAGCGTCAGCTTGGGTAACTGTAAACTTGTTAATCTCTAGCTTTGTAATTCTCAGTGTCCTGTCATACTTCTTCCTTTTGAGTACTTTGTCGACCGCCGTTTCGGTTTGTGAGTCGCCAAAAAGTATGAGCACGTCTTCGAAATTTTGTTTGAGAGCGTATTCTAGAATCAGTTGTAGATGATGCCTTGTTTTTCCTGTGGTGGAATCGAGCAGGTCTGTACATTGATCGAAGCATATGCCCGGGCAATGGACGGGGCAGCTTTGAAAAGAGTAGTCACATACAATAGGAGGGGCATTGCTTGGCTCCATTTTCCAAATTAGTAAAAAAGATTGTAAGGGGAAAAAAAATTTTCTATTACCCTGTCGTCGTCGTTGTTGTTGCCACTACTGTACATCGTTCTTTCAGTCCAACCCAAACTGCTAACCTTGTGAGTGCCAATTAACGAAACCAGTGCATTAAATGAAATGACAAGCTGGTTGATGAACATCAAGTTGATTCGTGGTCAGCCATGCTGTCATGTCAGAGCTTCTCGACATGTCAGAGCTTCTCGACATACCATCTTGATAACAAGCGAAGCTATCCGCTGGGCGTTCGTTGGCTCCTGATGCGTAGATGCTGACTCAAGTTGTCTCGAAGTTCGCTGCTCTCGAACCACCACTGCTCAATAGTCGTCGGTCGTCGGTCGTCGGTCAACAACTGGTGTTTCAAGGTCATGATCCCAGGTCAAAAGCCTAGGTTACAATACCTAGGTTACAAGCCTAGAATAGCGGTGGACCCAGGGTGCTTGATTCTACGTTGTTGATAAGGCCTCACAGGCGAGTCCGGGCATAGGCGATTCAGGGGGTGATTTAGGCGGCGGTGAGCCGGAGCGCACCAGAGTTCCAGGCTTGCTGGATGGCCGCTTGCGCGTCTACGTTGGAGAGTTCCTTCTGTACGTTGGCCCTCATGATTTCGG